TAAGCCCTGTGACAAAGAACTATTGGACACAATGGGACCAGTCGAAGCTTGAAGATGGTAGTCTTCTCCAGAGATGGGAAACTGCTGATGGGAAAGTGACGACCTGGCACTCAGTTATACCGAGAAAGTTGCGGGAAGTTGTGCTGCGTCAATCCCATGATAGTTTAACAGGATTACATCTCGGAGTTAAGAAGACATTGAGTCACGTACGGCAGAGATTTTACTGGATAGGTATGAGGCAAGATATGGAAGAATGGTGCAGGACCTGCAGTACATGTTGTGCTAAAAGGGGACCCAAGCATAAGGGACGTGCTCCAATGAAGTTATATTGAAGATAGAGATAATTAAGTCAAGCGAACAGTAGGCACCGTAAGTAAAGTGTGTGAATCACTGTGATTTATAGCGTGTGTTATAAAAGTTGTTAATTGTATTACAAAGTTGTATCGAGAAAGAATAAACTAGTTTTAATTAAGAAAGAACTTGTATCGCTGAAGTTCCTCGGGAAGAATTTATACCGGAAATGAAGGAAATTATCAAACGAGCAGAGACGTAACATTATAATGTGACGGCCATTCCTATTTCTCGTTAGTAATAGAGTATCCCAAAAGTTGGCGTTGAGTGGTGTTGATTAGCTGCCTTTCCTCTAGTCTATCAGTTCTAAATTTGGGACGGCTAACGCAGGTAGCCCTCGGGAAGCTTTGTGCGAAATTTAACAAACAAAATAAACCATTTGTTTTTATTCAAAGACTTTCAAACCCATAGATTTTTTGTTTGTTTGTAGTTAAGCACAAAACTACACAATGGGCTATCTGTGCTGTGCCCACCACGGGTATCGAAACCTGGCTTCTAGCGTTATAAGTCCGCAGACTTTCAACTGTGCCACTGGGGGGAGGGGAGGACAATCCCATAGATACTAAGTTGTTTTATTTTTCTTTATGTTTCAACACGTTTTTATTGAAGCTTTGTTTTCTTTAATGCATAGTGAAACTAGATTTTCTGCGTATATGATCACCTGCAACTAAGGCTAAAATTAGTCGACTGTAGTATTCATGATTTAACTAGCAATTTTATGCATGCTATTCTGGAATTTTTATCAGTTTATCTTTTAATATTTCACAAACAATAAAACATATAAAATATTCGAAATTTATAAAAATATTTTGAATAAATATTTGTACTTCAGAATTAAATTATATGATGGAAACATAGGCTTGGTCGCCCCAAAGTGGCACAGTGGTATATCTGCGGACTTATACCACTAGAAACAGAGATTCGATACCCGTGGTGGGCAAGCACAGATATCCCTTTGTGTAGATTTGCGCTTAATAACAAACAACAGCAACAGTCTTGGTCATATTTTGTACATGTCCACCTAACGGTAGTTTGTATAAGTAGTTGAAATGGCGTTATCCACCGGTAAGTGAGCTTGGTTTTAATTGAGAGTTTAAAAAATTAATCATAATTAGACTTTGTTATTTTTCTGTATTAATGCTAATACTAACAATCTCAAAATTAAACATGAGCTTGGACGAGTTGATTCAACAAGCAAACGTGACAATAAATAAATACATTTCAGAGCCCGCGATAGCTGAATTGGGCGCCCTAGACAATCACTATCAGTGAATCAGACTATGTAAAAAAATTGAAAAGTATGTTACCTGTCCATACACCAGGCTTACAATTTCACCATTGATTGTTGTGAGGTTTACTATATAGGCCTAATTATTATTAAAACATCAGTCACATTATGATTTGTACTTAAATCATAATTCATACTAGTAATAGAAGTATTACTACACCTTTATTCCCATATAGTGAACTATTTGAAAGCGCTAAAGCTTTGGGTCTAGTTTAAAAACCATTACACTTTAGTATTAATATTGTGAGAAATTTCGGAGTTGACCCGAATCGTATAGATTATTGAATATTATAGTACCATTGGTGTTAAACTTAAGATAGAGACATTAAAAATAGATAAAACACTAGGACCAGACAATGTATTACCCAGGGTTTTAAACATTAAACTTAAAGGATGACTTTAATTTTACACATGTCGATTGGGATTATATAGAGTCATATAAAGTGGAAGAGAGTTTATGTGAAATAATTCAAGTCAAACGGTACAAATTATTGGTGTCAACTCCTTCTCAATGTTTTCACGTGTGTCTAACCTCCACTGTTATGGCTTTTACATTAGAAAGTTATAACCAGATTACACACATTGACTATTTCTGTGCTCAACTAAACATACCTGTTGAAATTATGATAGTCCCTTCCCTAAATGTAAAACCTTCCATAACAAAGTTTACAGTGTATATATATATATATACTAAACATACCTGTTGAAATTATCATGTTAGTCCCCTTCCCTAAATGTAAAACCTTCCATAACATAGCTTACAGTATATATATATATATTATTTATTTATTATATTAATTAGTTATTGTATTTCTCCCTTTTTTTCACCATCACTTCTTCCCTCTTATTTCTCTTGTTAGTAACGTAGTATATAGTTCCACAATAAATAAATTTATAAAATTTTAATTAAATATTTTCCTTTTTCACTGAAGATAAGTGTTCACTTCACAGTAATTAGGCCTAACATTGTTATAATGTTGAGTAATAGTTTGATTTTGCCATCTATGCATACATTGATATCTTAACAATTACATATCAACTCAACACTATGGTAACAGGGTAAATGTAAGCCTAATTTAGTCTCCATCCTCCCTAGAACTGAATTTTGGTTATGACTGCAACTTTCAATACAATCTCAGTTATGGCAGGAAAGCAGAGTTTATATAAGATTCCCTGTTGTTTGCACAATAAGTCAGATGGGAGAGTGGAGAATCAGAGGTAAGTGATACACGCTCTGCAGTGTGAAAAGGACATTTGGAAGTTTTTAGTCACATGTTGTTGAAAGCATGAGTTCAGACTCAACAAAGAAAAGTTTTTGGTATTTCAGAGGTAATTTCCTGTTTGATAAATTTTTAATTCTAAGAAATGTAAAATTTTGTTTAGTGGATGGGACAACTTTGATGGACCAACAGTTTGGTGTCTAGCTGTCTGTCAGTATGTTATGTTACAATGTACTGAACTGATACTGCTAACTATTCTTAAGCTATAAAGTATCTCCATAAAAATGTTTATTGACCATAATTAACATAAGCTGATAATATTCAAGAATGAATAATGATAACACATTTAGACACACATACAGCTTTTTTGCCTATAAAATTTCTTGGATTTGGGGCCTTTGTAGGAAGGGTAACATTTGTATAAAAATGTTGTGTAAACGTAAGAATGCTGTAACTTTAGGGTTCAGTTGTTTAAGAAGTAAGTAAATGTTTCTTTCCATTTTTTTTTCACAAGGTCTGTGGAAGACATGGTTTTGGTGGTATTCTCAAAACAACTTTTTTTTTCTTTCTTTTTTTCAAGTCAAGTATAACTAATAGCTTATTTACTAATGTAGCATCCTAATGAACTGAGCTTTTTTTTCTTTCTTTTTTTCAAGTCAAGTATAACTAATAGCTCATTTACTAATGTAGCATCCTAATGAACTGAGCTTTTTTTTTCTCAGCAGGGGTGGTTGTTCCACGGAACTTCAGACTTTTAGAAGAATTGGAACAAGGTGAGAAGGGTGTTGGAGATGGAACAATTAGCTGGGGTCTAGAAGATGACATGGACATGTCTCTTACCCACTGGACAGGAATGATTATAGGACCACCCAGGGTAAGTAGAAGTATAGCGTAAAATAAAATGGTTTTATTTATGTGGATAGAAAACTTTTACAGAATGCTCAAAGTTAATTTTAAAGGAAGTACACTCGAATTAATATGTAGAGAACTTTTCACAGTATCATTATACACACACACACATATACTTCCATTGGTGGGTTTTAGGTCCTAAAGACCTTGGGGGGACAGGTGCATTCGACCGTATCATTATACGTGAATAGATAGATTTAATGTTTTAAATAAATGATCTGATTGTATACATTGATTATGATACTCTGCTGTGGTTAATGTATTCAAGATAAAATTCATAGATGTAGCAAGTAAATCAGCTAAGTATTTTCAGCTGAAGACTGTCCAGCAGTGACTTGAAATGTAAAGCAAGCTATGTTAATTTTTTCCATTTGAACTGTACGTAAAGTAAAAATTATATGTTTTTTAAACACTTTCCTGTGACTTGCATGAAAGAGATGGTTTGTTGTGAATGGTCTTTTTTCATTTGATTACTTTTTATGTTATACAGAGTATATAATGTGTATTTATGCTACACCGAGTATAGAATGTGTATTTATGCTACACCGAGTATAGAATGTGTATTTATGCTACACC